TTACTTCCTTTTCTGGTGATGGCTGTTTTTCTTTCATATGTGGGCTGTTTCTTTGTCTCCCCATGATCTCTCTTCTCCAGGTGTTTGGTTATGTAGTTCTCTCTCTGCTGCGTTGATTTAAAGGCACAAAATACAACACAACAAAGCACAACGCACAAGGCACTGAACACAAATGTATTCACAATACTAATAACCCCAAATAAAGGTGACCACCAGATCAAAGAGAATTAGGGGATAAGGAAGAAAGAAGAGAAAAAGATAAAAGATTGGAAAAAAAGAGTGCAAAAATGAAATTGGGAAAAGGGAGAGAAAGAAAAAAAGTAAGAGAGGAAAGAGAGAGAATGAAATAGAAGAGGGGAAGAAGCTATTTGTACAGGGAGAAAACTCTAATAGAACAGCCACTAATCCCAACAAATTCCAGCAACAGATCCCTGGAGATGAATGCAAACTACAAACAACAACTAATATCAAGCGAGGCGAGGGAAAACAGAAGCAAAAAAATAACCGGAAAAAAAATCCAACAGAAAAAGAAAAAGAAAAACAATCTCATAAACAAGCATAAAAAACCCCCAATATACTCAACAATCAAGCAAACAACAACAAAACGACAGAGAGAAAAAAAACTTCGGATAGTGAAGAAAGAGAAGAGAGAGGTGTATATGGATTTAGAGCAGGAGATTGGTAATTAGATATATAAGTAGGGTGAAATTTTAACAGGGGGTAAAAATAAGGAATAGGGAAAATCTAAAGCAGGGATAGGGTAAGAGAAACAGGACAACAAAAGGGGAAAAGTGAGGAAGAGAGTTTTGGCATAAAGGTAAAGTTGAGGTAGAGTAAAAGGATGCTAAAGGAAAGATGAAAATAGAATGTAGAACACTAATCCCAAAATATTCACCTTAACAAGACATGACCCAAAGGGAACAAAGCATGAATGCACCCATGGCACCGACAACACCAATACAAGCAACCACCCGAGAAAAGATAATTAGGGGAGAGAAAAGAGAGCACAAATGATATCCAAGAGAGAGAAAAAAAGATCCAAAGGTATACCTTTAAAGTTAAATGATTAAACTACTCCTAACCTTCATCACCCTTGAAAGCTAAAATGACAAATTATTTGCATTACCTATCCCTCCCCAAGAAGTTAAAAATAAGTAAGTAAAAACTCAATCACTAACATTTATTTAGTGCTTGATCTACAAAAGTAGATATTACTAGAAAAATAATATTCTTTGTATGTTCAGCACCTAATATAGTGTTTATCACAAACAGATTATTTAATAAATGTTTTTCAACTGAAATAATACTGGAATCTGCTAGTTTTTCTCTATACCTCAGATTACAAACAACTGCATTTTTAGTTTAAGGACATATCAAGATTATTTTGAACATTACCTTTGTCCTCCATTGATAAGAGAAACAACTGCACGTGCAGGAGTTACATTACTGACCATAGCTCTCAAGGCTTTGTCAACATCTTCTCTTATAAATGTATTTGATTCTCCTGCTTTATGCAACAAAACTTTTACTGTAGTATCTAGTTCTTGATCCATGCTCTTTTTCAGGTAAGTGAAAAGATCACTTAAACAGACCACAGCAGCACGAGAAACTCCAGAGCGTAAATTTTTCACCTAAAAAAAAAAAGTCTAAAATGTACATTTTGCTGATATTCTGAAAGAAAATCAGTAATAATAACTTTGAAACCAAATTTACTATTAAAATAACATGTTTTAACATGTATTATCTTATGTACTAAAAATAAACATTTAATAATTTTTATAAATGTTACATATTTATTCTTTGTTATTAAACAATCCTTAACTCAGCTGAAAATAAGTTTACCTCTTGAACTACTGCAAAATTTGTTTCATGCAACTTTGTGTTCAATATTTCAGAATGAAAAGCAGCTAAGCATCTGATAAAATTCAGTCCCTCAATTTTCTTCTCCCTATGGGAAAAAGAAACAAATGATAAAATCACTTATTAAAATGAGGCTCAACTGGAACAGGATGTCTTCTTTTGTGTATGAAATATTGCCAATGAAGACACCTTGCCTATTTTGCCTTATCATGTAGGAACTTCAAATTAAAAAAATATGTAACGTGTTATTTGCTCTAATAGTTCTCTTTCATGATTCAAAACCACTACTAAAAACTAAGTTCATGCTTTGTAAATAAAAAGGAAAATGTTTGTCCCCTAGTAAGAGTGTCATATTCTTTCTAAAAAGGAGGGAAGGGAATGGCAAACAAAAGGTGAGGGAAACAGTAAAACAAAAATAGGAAAAAAAATAACTACCTGTTACCTTGTTGTTGAATAACAGAAAACCACCAATAGGTGGTTCTATAACTTGTATTTCTTTTCATTATCTAATGTAATGAGCCAGATGAAGGGTAGGTGAATACTAACACCAACAGGGTGGATTCAATTGGATTTTAGATACAACATTTCAAATTTGATGGTTTTCATCTTGAGGGTTTGATAATGTGAACTAAGATGAGTTTCCTAAGTTAGTAATATTAAGTTAATGGTTATTTTTTTAAGCAGTTAAATTCTCTGGAAAAATTATGGAAAACAGAGAGAAAAGACCTAAGATTCTAAGGTGGTAAGAACAAACCTACTTAATAACTAACTGGTTCAAAAATTTCATTTTATTGATAAGCATAAAACAGTTTACAGTAACAATTTAGATGTAGAAGCAACCCAATTCTATACACATAAAAGTAAATAGAAAGTGGAGTTGAGAGAAGTATAAAAAAGAAATTAAAAAACAGTTGCTGAAATTTTTCCAAATTTGGTCAAAATTATAAACTCTTAGATCCAAGAATAAGCCCCAAAAAGGATAATCACAAACAAACAAACAAACCTCCCCCCCCCCCCCCGCAACACCACAATATGGGAAATCAGAATCAAATTGCTTAAAAAGAGTGTTAAAGGGAATATTCTTAAAGGCAGCTATGGAAAAAGACACATAACATACAGAAGAACAAAGGTAATAATTGCAGAAGACTTCAGGTCAGAAATATAAAAGCCAGAAATCAACTGAACAAAATCTAAGTGCTAAAAGGAAACAAATAACAACAACAAAAATAAACTTCAATTAATAAACTTCAACAAATCTTCAATTATAGTTGGAGATTTCAAAAGCCCTTTCCTAGTAATTGATAAAACAGATAGAAAATCAGTAAGAACACAGAAAACTTAAACATTAGCAACCATTAGCAACCAACTTGATCTACTTGACATTTATAGAACACTACAATCAACAACAGCAGAACACAGATTCCTTCCAACTTCATGTGAAATGTTCATCTGAAAAAGAGAAAACATCTCTATCCTCATGGATCTTATAATGAGAAAAAAATATATAAGGTCAGGTCACAAAATGGAATATTAAAAATAAAGCAGCAGCCCTAGCTGGTTTGGCTTAGTGGACAGAGGTCAGCCTGTGGACTGAAGGGTCCCAGGTTTGATTCCAGCCAAGGGCACATGCCGAGGTTGCAGGCTCAATCCCAGTATGGGGCGTGTAGGAGGCAGCCAATCAACGATTCTCTCTCATTGTTGATGTTTCTATCTCTCTCTCCCTTTCCCTTCCTCTCTGAAATCAATAAAAATATATTTAAAAAAAATAAAGCAGCATAAGACGATGGGGAAAAACACTATTTTAGTGAGGGTCATGAAAGAAAGCTTTTCTGAGGTGACATTTGGCAGGTATCTGAATGAAGTGAGACAGAAAGCCATTGGGAAACTGTTCAAAGAATGAAGTATAAAGAAATGAGCTTGGGTGTAGCTAGAGTGGTAGCTAGATAGCTAGAGTGGATAAGTAAGGCAGAGCATGGAATGAGGCTACGCTACAAAAAGGGGCAAGGGAGAGAACCAAGACAAAGGTGTAGGTAAATGTCAGTACTCACCACCTCCCATAACCACATCAAAATTACAACTAACAACCATCATTCAGAACCACCTGAAAGCTGGCTGAATGGAAGTCCTACAACTAGAGAAGTAAAGAAAGTACATCAAGACTGGTAGGAGGAATGGAACGGGCTGGTCCGACACCGAGGTGTGGTGTTTTTTTTTTTTAAATTGGGAGGGATATCTTGGCTGAGGAGGCCACTCGTGAAAAGCAAGGGGTCCCAGCCCCACACCAGACCCCCAGCCCAGGGTTCTGGAGCCAAGATGAGAAGTCCCCGTAACTTCAAGCAGTAAAAACCAATGGGGATTGTGGCTGAATGATACCAAGTCTGCCAGAGCCCCAGGCAGTTCTGCTTAAAGGGCCATGAACTTACAAGGTCCTGCTTCCTCCAAGCTTCAGTGTCTGACAGTGAATTTGGGGAACCCAGGGACATAAGGGGAGGAACTGGATTGTACGGCATTGGGGCAGGAACTCAGGGGCAGCTCTCCCATGCTGGGGGAGGGTGTGCTCACAGGGGTAATTGTTCTTATGCTGGGACTCCCCCCCCCCCCCCCACACAGGGCAGACTGGCAGCCATATCTGAGTTTCCTTCAGGGTGACCCACACTGTTTGTTCTGCTTTGGTGATTCCCTGAGACCCTGTCCCATCCAATTTGCCAGCCCCACCCAAACTGTGTTTGCAGTGGCTTTTCCATATGAATGGCCTCAGACTTTTTGAAAATCTCTCAAACAAGCAGCAGCTGGCATCACCATGCCCCAAACCTATCAATAAGAGGCCCAAGACCCAGCACTAGTAGCAGCCTGCCTTGCTTCAGAGCTGGGCCTCGCCTGGGCTCTTCCAAGCCCAATACAAATAGCAGCCATCAGCAGATCGCTCTGTGGCTCCTGCCAGGTGGCCTCAGGCAGTGGCTGACTTTGCACCTTCCTGGGGGCCCCAGAGCCAGTACACCCGGTGGACAGCTTCAGACCATACTGGATTACAACTCTACACATCAGTAAGCAACACACTCAAGGGGCAGGCTCAGTGAGCAGCAAAGCCTCATGGAACCAAGTCCTGCTTTATAGGAGTTTCTCCTGCACAGCAGCTCTCCCACTGTAGTTTCCCCTAGTCCTCACAGCCAATTGGCCTGGAAGTCAGTTCCTCCCAGTGACACCAACAGCAATCGAGGCTCAACTACAAGATTGCTCACACAGCCAACACAGGGGTGGACCTAGCAAGCTCAGTCAGCTCAGGTGACTGAGGAGGCTGAGCCACTGGGCTCTACAGGACACCTACTACACAAGGCCACTCTACCAACTCCAGGAGACAGAGCAGCTCTACTTAATACATAGAAACACAGGGAAGCAGCCATAATACAGTGACAAAGAAACATGTCAAAAATGAAAGAAATGGCCGAAACCGGTTTGGCTCAGTGGATAGAGCGTCGGCCTGCGGACTGAAAGGTCCCAGGTTCGATTCCGGTCAAGGGCATGTACCTGGGTTGCGGGCACATCCCCAGTGGGAGATGTGCAGGAGGCAGCTGATCGATGTTTCTCTCTCATCGATGATTCTAACTCTCTATCTCTCTCCCTTCCTCTCTGTAAAAAATCAATAAAATACATTAAAAAAAAAGAGAAAGAAATGGAAGCAGGCAAGCTACTGGATGCAGAATTCAAAACAATGGTTCTAAGGTTACTACTCAAGGATCTTAATGAGAGCTTGCTTCAAGGGATTTAGTGAGACTTTCAAGGATCTTAGTGAGAATTTCAAAGACATGATAAAGGACAAGTCAGAAATTATGCATACACTAACTGAAATAAAAAATAATTTACAGGAATTCAACAGTAGAGTAGAGGATTCTGAGAGTAAAATCAACAATTTGGAATATGAGGAAGCAAAAAACACCCAATCAGAAAAACAAAAAAGAAAAAAGAATCCAAAATTATGAAGATAGTGTAAGGAGCCTATGGGACAACTTCAAGCGTACCAACATTCACATTAGCCAGGGGGTTGGGGATGGGGGTGGGGGAAGGAGGGTGTTGCCAGAAGAGAAGAGAAAGAGCAAAATATTGAAACCTATTTGAAGAAATAATGACAGAAAACTTCCCCTACCTGGTGAAAGAAATAAACTTACAAGTCCAGGAAGCGCAGAAAATCCCACACAAGATGAACCTAAAGAGGCCGACACCAAGACACATCATAATTAAAGTGCCAAGGGTTAAAGACAAAATCTTAAAAGCAGCAAGATAAAAGCAGTTAGTTACCTACAAGGGAGCACCATACAACTGTCAGCTGATTACTCAATAGAAACTTGGCAGGCCAGAAGGGAGTGGCAAGAAATATTCAAAGTGATGAATAGCAAGGACCTACAACCAAGATTACTCTACCCAGCAAAGCTATCATTTAAAATTGAAGGTCAGATAAAGAGCTTCACAGACAAGAAAAAGCTAAAGGAGTTCATCACCACCAAACCAGTATTATATGAAATGTTGAAGGGTATTCTTTTTTAAAAAAATATATTTTATTGATTTTTTACAGAGAAGAAGGGAGAGGGATAGAGAGTTAGAAACATCGATGAGAGAGATCGATCAGCTGCCTCCTGCAAGCCCCCCAGTGGTGATGTGCCCGCAACCAAGGTACATGCCCTTGACCGGAATTGAACCTGGGACCCTTCAGTCCGCAGGCCGACGCTCTATCCACTGAGCCAAACCGGTTCGGCTTGAAGGGTATTCTTGAAGAAGAGAAAGGAAAGAAGAAAAATATGAACAACAAAATGGCAATAAACACATATGTATCAACAATTGAATCTAAAAATAAAAATAAGTGAACAAGAAATCTAATGAACAAAATAAACTGATGAATAAAATAGAACCAGAGGCATGGAAACATGGAACAGACTGACACATTTCAGAGGGAAGGGGGGTAGGAGCGGTGCGAAGAGATTAACCAAAGATCTTATATGCATACTAGAGGCCTGGTGCATGGGATTCGTGCACTTGTGAGGGGTGTGGCCTGTGGGGATCCACTCGCTGTGGGAGCACTCATCTGGCTCAGCCGAGCAGCTGTGGACCCGCCCTCTGAGTGGCTGCTCCCAATGTGGGCACAGCTGCTCATCCCTGTCAGCTAAGCGGTGCTCCCACTGTGGGAGTGCACATCCAGGGGGCAGCTCCTGCACTGAGCATCTTTCCCCTGGTGGACAGTGAGCGTCATAGCGACTGGTTGACTGGTTGTTCTGGTTGTTCCACCATTCAGTCGCTGGGCTTTTATTATATAGAATATGCATTACCTATGGACACAGACAATAGGGTGGTGAAGGCCTGGGGTGGGGCAGAAACCAGGTGAAGTGGGGCATTGGGGAAAAAAAGGGGAACATCTGTAATACTCTCAACAATAAAGTTTACAAAAAAAAGATACAAAAGACAGATAATGAAGGACCCTGAAAGTTATAGTAAGCAGTTAAAGGACCCTGTAAGCTATAGTGACCAGTTAATAAAATTTTTTTTCTGTGTTTTAGAGAGCCACTGGAGGGTTTTTTCATGAGGGAATTCCATGGTCTGATTTATGTTTTAAAAGCATCTATCTGGCTGTTGTATGAAATCGGCAAATAATGGATGCATGGAAACTAGCAATCACACTGCTATAGCCAGGTGAGAGGCAATTGTGGCTTAGAGAAAAATAGCAGCAGAGATTGCAGTATGTGAATGGGTTTAGGACATGTTTTATAAACAGTAAAACTGATGAAATGGGAAGAAATGAGAAAAAGTTAATACTCACTTAGTATGAACAAATAAATGTCTATGGCAGGGGGATTAATTAAGATGGTAAATACTGGTGGGAAGCAGATTTGGGACTAGGAGAAGGGGAAATAAAAAGTTTTGTTTTAAGAATTTTTGCATCTATGTTCATGAGATATATTGGGTATAATTCTGTAGTTTTCTTTTTTTGTCTTTGTATGGCTTTGATATCAGGGTAATACTGGCCTCAAAGAATTAGATGGAGAGTACTCTAACATCTTCAATGTTTTAAAATATTGTGTAGAGTTGATTTCTTCCTTAAATATTTGGAATAATGCACTAATGAAATTATCTGAGCCTGGAGTTTTCTTTGTGGGAAAGTTTTAAACTCAATTTCCCACCTTGTGGGTCAGGAATCGTGCAGTTCTTTAACAACCTAACATTGACCTAGGCCAGTGATGGTGAACCTTTTGAGCTTGGCGTGTCAGCATTTTGAAAAACCCTAACTTAACTCTGGTGCCGGGTCACGTATAGAAATTTTTTGATATTTGCAACCATAGTAAAACAAAGACTTATATTTTTGATATTTATTTTATATATTTAAATGCCATTTAACAAAGAAAAATCAACCAAAAAAATGAGTTCGCGTGTCACCTCTGACACACGTGTCATAGGTTTGCCATCACTGTTTTAGATGGAGTGTTCTATAATCTCAATTAGTTCTATAGTGTTCAAGTTTTCTATATACTCATTGATTTCCTTTCTACTAGTTCTGTCAATTAATGACAGAGGGTTATTGAAGTTCCAACTATAATGTGAATTTGTTTACTTCTCCTTGTAGGTCTACCAGTTTTTGCTTAATGTATTTTGAAGCTCTGTTATATGGTAAATAAAAGTTTAGGATTGCTATGAACTCTTGATGAATTACCCTTTTTCATTATAAAATGACCCTCTTTATTCCTGATGTTATAAGCAGAATTTTAAAATGCCACCACATGATTCCTCTCCTGGTGTATACATCTGTATAAGACCCTTTCCTTGATGGCAAATATGATGGGATATCACTTCCCTTAACCATGTTACATTATATGGCTAAAGGAATTTTGCAAGTTGTCCTATAGCTCACTGTTTCTCTGTTCATATCTTTCTTTTAGCTTTTTAATTTTTAAAAAATTTATTGATGTTACAGGGAGAGAGGAAGGGAGGGAAAACGAGAGAAAGAAACATCAATTTGTTGTTCCTCTTATTTATGCATTCATTGGTTGCTTCTTGTATGTTCCTTGATTGGAGATCAAACCTGCAACCTCTGCATATGGGGACGACACTCTAAGTGACTGAGCTATCTGGCCAGGGCTTCTTCTAGTTTCTTTAACACATGGATTAGAACGATAACTATAGTTATAATGTCCTTGTCTATGAATACTTCCATCTGTATCCTTTTGGCATTAGTTTCAATTGTTTAATTTTTTTTCTTCTCATTATAGGTTGTATTTTCCTACTTCTTTGCATGCCTGGCAATTTTTGTTAATCCTGACTGGAGGATATTATTTTTCCTCATTGATTTTTAGAGAGAATGTAAGAAGGGGAGGGGGGGAGGAGAGAGAAACATTGATGTGAGAGACATCAATTAGCTGCCTCCCGCATGAGTTTTGACCAGAGTGGAGTATCGTGCCTGCAACTGAGGTATGTGCCCTTGATGGGAATCGAACCTGAGACTCTTCAGTCCATGGGCTGACACTCCAACTATTGAGCCAAGCCAGTGAGGGCTGCCTGGCAATTTTTTATTGGATGCCAGACATTGTGAATTTTACCTTGGATATTGTATTCCTATAAATATTTTTGAACTTTGTACTGGGATGTAGTTATTTGGAAAATTTGATGACCTCAGGCCTTGCTTTGTTTGGTGGGACCAATCCAGTCTTTACCTTAGAGTTTATTCATTCCATAGTCAGCGGTTCTCAACCCGTGGGTGGCGAACAATGAAAATACATCCTGCATATCAGATATTTACATTACGATTCATAACAGTAGCAAAATTACAGTTATGAAGTAGCAACGAAAATAATTTTATGGTTGGGGGTCACCACAACACGAGGAACTGTATTAAAGGGTCGTGGCATTAGGAAGGTTGAGAACCACTGCATGAAGCAAAATTCTTCTGAATGTTCGATCCAAAGCTTTGTGAATTATGAAGTTTTCCACTCTGCTGGTAGGAACAGGAGGTATTCTTGGTATTGTATATGCTCTAGGGATTATTACCTATACTTCTTTGAATGGCCCTTGTTCTGGGATCAGGTAATTTACTTACATGCATGCCCTGACCAGTTCTCAGATAAAAATTTGAGAAGATTCCTCTGATGGCCTCTGAAGTTCTTTGTGGAGCTCTATTCTCTCTGGCATTCTGCCCTGCATACTCTATCTACCATCAACATCCCAAACTTCCAGCTCCATCTCCATCTCTGCTGATATCGAGATGGTTTCTCCCTCCTTGAGCTGTGACCTGCAGATTGTGGTTCAATTTCTGGTCAGGGCACATGCCTTGGTTGCAGGCTAGATCCTTGGTTGGGGGTGCACAGGAAAAAGCAGAGAGATGTTCCATTCTCACAGTGATGTTTCTCTCTCCCTCTCCCTCTACCCCTCCCTTCCTCTCTTTCTAAAAATCAATTAAAAAATCTTAAAAAAAAACTTGTTAAAAAGAAAATAATGATGAACTTACCAATCCTCATCAGCTAAAAGCTTCAAGGCTTCTATCAGCGCTATATCTGGTTTAGAAAATGGCCGTAGTTCTGATGAATCCATAATTTCTGGACTATGAGTGACAGAAGACATCCTTTCTTTATACTGTGGAATGGCTCCAGGAGACGCTTCACCTAAAAGAAAAAACATTAAATCAAGAATCAACTGGAGATCGAGGAAGATGGCGGCGTAGGTAAACACATGTACTCGCCGCCTCCCACAACCACATCAAAATTACAACTAAAATAGAACAACCATCATCCAGAACTGCTGGAAAGCTGGCTGAATGGAAGTCCTACAACTAGAGAAGTAAAGAAGAAAACACACTGAGGCTGGTAGGAGGTGCAGAACGGGTCGGTCTGGCACCCATGGGCTTTTGCACCAAGTGTGCTGCTTTTTAATTGGGAGGGAGATTGTCACTGTGGAGGTTGCCAGTAAGGAGCAAGGGGTCCCAGTCCTACACCAGCCCCCCAGCCCAGAGTCCTAAGGCTGGGAAAAGAAGTTCCTATGGGCATTAAGAACACTGGGCTATAAAAACCAGTGCGAATTGGGGCTCAGTGACACAGAGGCTGCTGGAGACCCAGCTGTTCCTCTTAAAAGGCCGGCACCATGAACTGAACTTAGAAGGTCCCACTTCCTCTGAGCTCCAGCACCAGGGTGAGGCTCTGGGGAACACAGACACATACAAGAAGGAACTGGATTGTTTGGCATTGGGGCAGGAACTCAGGGACAGCTTTCTCCCAGATGGAGGTGCTCAAAGGGATCATTGTTCCTATGCTGGGCTGACTGGAAGCCATTCCTGTTTGCTCCACCCTAGTGATTCCTTAAGACCTTGTCTCATCCAATTTACAACCACACCCATGCTGTGTGCAGCAGCTTTTGCATATGAATGGCCTGTCCTTGCTCAGGCTAAAATCTGTCAGACATGCTGCAGCTGGGTCAGGGAGCCCCAAACCTATCAATAAAAGGCCTAAGACCTGACACCAGCACCAGCCTGCCTTGCTTCATAGCTGGGCCTCATCTGGGCGTTTCCAAACCCGATACAAAGAGGAGGAATCTGCAGATCTGGAGTTCCTCCTGGGTGGCCCCAGGCAGTGGCTGACTTTGCACCTCCTTCAGACCATACCAGGTTACAACTCTACACATCCGTAAGCAACACACTCAAGGGGCAGACTCAGTGAGCAGGAAGGCACAGCCTCACTGAAGCAAGTCTTGCCCCATAGGGGTGTCTCCTGCACAGCAGCTCTCCCACTGTAGTTTCACCTGGTCCTCATAGCCAATTGGCCTGGAAGTCAATTTCTCCCAGTGACACCAACAGCAATCAAGTCTCAACTACAACAAGACTGTGCTCACAGCCCACAAAGGGCTAGATCTCCCAGCTCAGGTGACTGGGAGGCTGAGCCACTGGGCCCTATAGAACCCCTACTACACCAGGTCACTCTACCAACTCCAGGAGACATAGAAACTCTACCCGATACACAGAAACAAACACAGGGAAGCAGCCAAAATGCAGAGACAAAGAAACTTGTCACAAATGAAAGAAAGCAAACTACTAGATATAGAGTTCAAAACCACGGTTATAAGATTACTCAAGAATCTTCTAGAAACCTCCAAAAAAAAAAAAAAAAAGGAAAAGGACCAGTCAGAAATTAAGCATACACTGACTGAAATAAAGAATAACATACAGGGATTCAACAGTACACTAAAGGATTCTGAGAATCAATGATTTAAAATATGAGGAAGCAAAAAACACCCAACCAGAAGAGCAAAAAGAAAATAGAATCCAAAAATATGAAGGTAGTGTAAGGAGCCTCTGGGACAACTTCAAGCATACCAACACTCACATTATAGGGGTGCCAGAAGGAGAAAAGAGAGAGCAAGATATTGAAAACCTATTTGAAGAAATAATGACAGAAAACTTCCCCTACCTAGTGAAAGAAATAGGCTTAAAAGTTCAGGAAGCACAGAGAATCCCAAACAAGAAGAACCCAAAGAGGCCCACATCAAGACACATCATAATTAAAATGCCAAGGGCTAAAGACAAAGAGAAAACCTTAAAAGCAGCAAGAGAAAAGCAGTTAGTTACCTACAAGGGAGTACCCATATAACTGTCAGCTGATTACTCAACAAAAACTTGGCAGGCCAGAAGTGAGTGGCAAGAAATATTCAAAGTGTTGAATAGCAAGGACCTACAACCAAGATCACTCTGCCCAGCAAACTATCATTTAAAATTGAAGGTCAGACCGAAACCGGTTTGGCTCAGTGGATAGAGCGTCGGCCTGCGGACTGAGGGGTCCCGGGTTCGATTCCGGTCGAGGGCATGTGCCTGGGTTGCGGGCACATCACCACTGGGGGATGTGCAGGAGGCAGCTGATCGATGTTTCTCTCTCATCGATGTTTCTAACTCTCTATCTCTCTCCCTTCCTCTCTGTAAAAAACCAATAAAATATATTTAAAAAAAAAATTGAAGGTCAGATAAAGAGCTTCACAGACAAGAAAAAGCTAAAGGAGTTCATCATCACCAAACCAGTATTACATGAAATGCTGAAGGGTATTCTTTAAGAAGAGCATGAAGAAGAAAAAGAAGAAAGATAAAAATATGAACAACAAAATGGCAATAAATACATACCTATTAACAATTGAATCTAAAAATCAAAATAAGCAAATAAGAAATCTAGTTAACAGAATAAACTGGTGAATAAAATAGAATCAGCAGGATGGAAATGGAACAGACTGATGATTCTCAGAGGGAAGAAGAGCGAAGGGTTGGGAAGAGATTACACAAAGATCTTATATGCATATATGCATCACCAATGGACACAAACAATTGGGTGGCGAAGGCCTGGGGTGGAGCGGGAACCAGGTGGAAGGGGGCAATGCGGAGAAAAAAGAGGGACATCTGTAATAATCTCAACAATAAAGATTTAAAAAAATAAAAAAAATTAAATCAAGCATCACAGAATACAAATGGTATTCTGATAATACTCTATGAATATTTCATATAGGAACTAGTGCTATTAGTTTAGTCTCCAACAAAATTGTAATATCCACATACCAAAGCTATTTAAAACTTTACTTTTTAAAAAAATATATATTTTATTGATTTTTTTACAGAGAGGAAGGGAGAAGAATAGAGAGTTAGAAACATCGATGAGAGAGAAACATCAATCAGCTGCCTCCGGCACACCTCCTACTGGGGATGTTCCCACAATCAAGGTACATGCCCTTCACAATCAAGGTACATGCCCTTGACCGGAATTGAACCCGGGACCCTTCAGTCCACAGGTCGATGTTCTATCCACTGAGCCAAACCGGCCAGGGCAAGGTTGTAGGTTTGATCTCCAGTCAGGGCACATACAAGAAGCAACCAATGAATGCATAAATAAGTGGAACAATAAATCGCTGGATGGGGCCTGCTGGCCAACCTCTCGGTCCCTTCTCCCGGGGGCAGGCTCCAATCTCTCCATTTCTCTCTCTCTCTCTCAAATCAATAAATTTTAACCTAGCCGGTGTGGCTCAGTGGCTGAACGTTGATCCATGAGCCAGGAGGTCATTGGTTCCATTCCAATCAGGGCACATGCCTGTGTTGTGGGGTTGATCCCCAGTGGCGGGGAAGGGGGAGTGCAGGATGTTGCCAATCGATGATGCTTCTCTGTCACCCATCAATGTTTCTATCTTTCTATCTCTCTCCCTTCCTCTCTCTCTAAAAATGAATAAAAACATATTTAAAACAAATAAAATTTTTCAAAAGAATAGTCCTCATTTTATTTTTCTTAAAATTTTTTTTTCAATTACAGTTTATACTCAATATTACTTTGTATAAAAATATAGAATGCTTCATGAATTTGGGTGTCATACTTGCACAGGGGCCAGGCTAATCTTCTCTGTATTATTCCAATTTTAGTACATGTGCTGCCAAAGCAAGCACCCTCATTTAAAAAAAATTTTTTTTTGGTATGATTCAGATTATAACCTTATTAGATTTCATATGTAAGCCTGGTATGTATAAATAAAAACCTCCAAATTGGGAATTTCATAACCCCCCCAAAATAACAAATACAAAATACTAGCTATTATTAGAGAATTTGCCTAGTATTGTGCTAAGTGCTTCATTTACATTATCTAATTTCATTCATTCAGGAACCCTATCTGATAGTTATATTATTCTTACACTAGAGGTCCAGCGCACGAAATTCGTGCTGACCCTGGTGCCCGCCGCCCATCACCACCCACCCCCAGTTCCCTGTTCACCATTGGGCGATCAGAACCTGCTGGCCTGGGGCGGGGGGGGAGGGGGGAGCAGGGACCGAGAGGTTGGCTGTTCCCACCCGCTGGCTGGCTCCGTCCCCTGTCACGGGTTGCCCTCTGTATGTGGGGCTACCAGTGGGGCAGGGGCCTTGGCCTGGCGCCGCCCACGTCTGCCACCACTCACCCTGGTTCCCTGTTTCTCATCGGACAATTGGATCCTGCCCCAGGGGGAAGGGACCGAGAGGTTGGCAGGCAGGCCCCATCCAGAGATAGGGGCCTGTGGGCTGGGGGCAGCTCCTGTGTTGAGTGTCTGCACCCTGGTGGTCAGTGCGCGTCATAGCAACTGGACGTTTTGCCGTTCAGTTGATTTGCATATTACCCTTTTATTATAAAGGATTATGAAGCCGTAACCAGTTTGGCTCAGTGGATAGAGCATTGGCCTGTGGACTGAGAGGTCCCAGGTTCGATTCCGGTCAAGGGCATGTACCTCGGTTGCGGGCACATCCCCAGTAGGGGGTGTGCAGGAGGCAGCTGATAGATGTTTCTCTCTCATCGATGTTTCTAACTCTCTGTCCCTTTCCCTTTCTCTCTGTAAAAAATCAATAAAATATATATTTTAAAAAAAAGGATTATGAAGAAACTGATGCTAAAGTTTTAAGGATTCCCTTTCTATACTCCACCTAAGTTAGAGAGAGAATAACTCATTAGGGGCACGCAGGAGGCAGCTAATCAATGTTTTTCTCTATAGATGCTTCTATCTCTCTACCCCTCTCCCTTCCTCTCTCTAAAATCAATAAAGACATATTAAAAAAACATAATTATGACTTATTGCTGTTTTGTACTATTTGGTACTGTTAACTACTAGTGTAGGTAAGACGTTTTGTGGGTTTTTCTCCCAATAGCCTGTCTACACTTAACCAGTTCTTATTTATTTTATAACTGGAAGTTTGTATCTTTTGACTCTTCTCACCTATTTCACCCTCCTCCCCTCTTTTGGTAATCATCATTCTGAATTTGAGGATACAGAATTTTTTAAGTTTTCACAACTTCTTGCATTATAAAAGAATTACAAGCTAGGAAAAACCTCAGACATTCATCTAGCTCAAATATTTTTTTATATTTATCTTTGAGAAGGTTAAATATTTATTTTTCATACTTGTTTTTGTTTTTGATACCTTGACTTTAGACCCAACATAAATTAAAGAATGTTTATTATAGTTCACACAGTTTATTCCTTAGAAGTAATTAATAAACCGAGCTAATAAGCAATAATCCTTAATGTTTGTTATAGTTCTCACAATATTTCAGTTCAACCTCTGATTTTACCAAGTTGCTACTATACCTAAGACCTTTTTAATATTTTTAAAAACAATACAGGAGCCCGGCAGGTGTAGCTCAGTGGTTGAGTGTGGATCCATGAACCAGGAGATCACGGTTTGATTTCTGGTCAGGGCACATGCAGGGTTGTGGGCTCAATCCCCAGTAGTGGACGTGCAGGGGGCAGCCGATCGGTGATTCTCTCTCATCATTGATGTTTCTATCCCTCTTTCCCTCTCCCTTCCTTTCTCTGAAATCAATAAAATAAAATAAAATAAAATAAAATAAAATAAAAAACAATACAGGAAACATAGAGCCTACGTTTGGCCAGGTATGGAACCTTGTAAATACTCAATGAGAGGCTGAATAAATGATAAATATAATTTTAAAAAATCATGCCCTAATATAAACCACCTTCAAAATCTCCGTTATCTTACCTGTAAAATGGAAAAACTCTATTCAGTGAAACAGGAATATTTGCAAGGAGCATGGAAGAAATCTTTGCGATAATCTGGATCTTTGAGATAATGTAGATATTTATAAAGACAGAAAATGAGGCCTGTTTTCAGGTCACAAAGCTAATTAAAAGGCAGAACTGATACTTAAAAAGCCAGGTCTAATGACTCCTACTAGTTTAGTGTTCTCTCTATCACCAATGAGCTGAACCAGATGTGGTCTTTTAAGCTCAACAAGCATAGTGACATTACTCTTTACATTTAAACAAGTGACTTACCTGAATCTGAAAACACTAGAGATGGTGACCTTTTTAAACTGGCCCCTCCTTTCAATGGAGGGTTAAAGGTAATGTTTTCTAAAGAGGAACTCTCATTTTTTGATATTCCCACCTCATCTCCAAAAATATTTAAGTCTAGAAAAGAGAAAAACAATCAGTCACCTCCTGCTCATGAGTAATAATTAATATTTTTTTTTTTTGAAGAAGTGGAGAGATACTGTTTTAATTACACCGGCGGACTCCGGGAAGTAATTTCCAAATCAGAGTACCGAAACATGCAGGGGCCTTCATTTTATATCTCCCTGTGGTCGTTGTCCCGCAAATATGGATTATGCTTCCGGTCCTTTTCTCGGGCTTTGCAAGAGGCCCTCAGGTGTTGGGGGTCTCCAGGCCATATCTGATGGCCTGGCCTGGTGCCAGCGCTAACAACCCTCCCTCCGGGCAGTGCACTGTTCACAGGTTTATGGCCTCTGTAACAGATTCTGCAAGACCAGTTTCTGGGAAGGAGGCAATGACTTAATTATAGGTTAGCTTGCTGGCATGGATTCCAATTGCTAGCCCCCCAAATATCAGGATTACACTTGAATTAGCCCTTTTTAGCCTTCTCATAGCCACTGTGCCTGTGTTATGGTGCCCCCCACGGCCCCCACAAGCCTGGGTAGGGAGAGTCCGTGGTCCCCCAGACAAGCCCAGGGCCCCAGGCTTGGTTTCGGGGGTAATCCAGGATAATGCCAGCTCGGGATCAGAGATCAAGTCCCTCCTTTCTAGGAGGTTCTTTCCTCCCAGCTGCCCTAGCTGCTGCCTCCAGGGGACTTCTCACAGCTGAGGGGACAGGGCGGGAGGAGCGAGGGGGCGGGGACAGGAAGGCCTCCGCTTTCCCAGGCTGGAGGCCACCAAGGAGCTGCTCTTTAATTCCTCCACCACAGCTGGGCTGCTCCCCAGTGGCTTTCCCAGACCCCGCTGGCCTGGCCGGCTGCTGGGGATAAACAAGGAGGAGCCTCCCCGAGGGGGAGGGGAGGGGAGGGCCTTGCGAAGAGGAGGACTGGGGAGGGGGAGGGGAGTGGGTTCGGGGCAAGCACACATCCTGTGAGCTTGGGGCTGGGGTTGCAATTCTCTTGGGCAACCCCAAGTCTCAGTTTCCTCACCTAGGAAATGGGTTCGGACTGGACCATTCCCCCCAGCAGCCCAGTGCGGAATCAGAACTGAGCAAGCGGCCCCAGGACCTGCCCGGAAACAGCTCCATCCCCCCCACCCTCACCTCTGTGGGGTGGGGGCCAAGGGTTCCTAACTCTGGCCTAGGGCTTTGGGCTCTGGGCGGGTGAAGTGGCCTGGCTGAACTGGAAGGCCCTGGAAATCCTGACCCCCTCTGGCATTCTGCCTGGAAGAGGAACGAGGGTGAGGGCTGGGAGGAAAGAGCACCTAGTGAGCTCCAGCTGCATGCCGGCTGCTTCTGGACATGACCTCGTTCGCCTGCGTGTTAGTGTCCTATTGCTGCTGCCACAGATCCCCACACACCAATAATTAATATGTATAATAGCTACTGGGTTTTATAAATTTCAGCATTATAGTTCAACATATTCCACTATTAGCCATATATAACCCTAAGTAAAACCTCATTACACTAGCTCCAGAATATTATTGTTAAAAAAGCACACCAAAAGCTAAATTCCACTTACTTTCTGATATCATTTTTTCAGTTCCTGTATGTTTCATTTCCTCCCAGGGATTATGTTTCTTCTTTTCACAATCTTTAATGTCAAAAAGTTCCTTTTCCTCTTTTCTCTTTTGTTTCATCTTGCCAAAGGTAGATTTTGACACAGAAAGTTTGATCTGCATTAAAAAGTTGAAATATCTGAAAGTATTCAGGGACTTTGACATTTAAAATAACTATCTTAATCTCAGACAACTGTATATAGGCATTAAATGTCTATATATAATATAAATCATACATTTCTTAGTTCTTACTTCAGGAATTCTAAAATAGAATAGAATTACATAGAGCTAATATCCAACAAAATTTGTGCCTGAGGATATTAGTCTGTACACATACACATGTACATACATAAAGTAACATAAAGTATAAAATACACTAGATGCTATATACCAGAACATGAACATATTTGGTGGAAAAAATAATAATTTATTATTTTAAAAATTAAGCATCAGAATTTTCAATTACATTGCAATTAAAAAATTTTTAACTGGAACACTTTCACCAACCCAAATCAGACATATACAAAACAATAATGTATGATAGGCTTAAAGTTACTCTAATAATTAAGCAAATAACCTTACATCTTTTTCATTCTCAACATCAAGATATGATGGAATACTTTGTTGGACTGCTTTTCCATAAATCCCTGATGGTGGTTCAATGCTTTGTTTAACTGAAAATTTATACCCATTTTCCACAGAAGATATCACTGATTGGCTACAGGTTGCTGGTGCTGAATTTGGACTTCCAAATACACCTGAAATCAACCAACAATAAATTGCCATTAAGTATCTATGTGTAACTCTGAATAATAAAGTTTAAGACAAGGCTTTGGCCTTTAAGAAATAAACAATATAGTTAATAAGAAAAACATGTTAAATAATCATCTCTCTATATAAAAGCCTAAGTGAACATCCAACCGGTAGCTATGATGTGCACTGACCACTGGGGGCAGATGCTCAACACACAGGCATGGAAACATGGAACAGGTTGATTAATCTAAGAGGGAAGGGGGGACGGGGAAGGGTGGTAAGAGATTAACCAAAGATCTTATATGCATACTAGAGGCTCAGTGCACGGATTCATGCACATTGAAAGGAAATTAATTAGAAGGAGGCCGGTGGGGCAGGACTGGGTGAGACAGGCTGGACACGCCCTGGAGCCAACCTCCCATGGTCCCTCCCTGGCCGACTGCACCTGGGGTGGCACCGTGGCTCACAAGGCGTCTGCAGAGTGAGTGGGGTCTGTCTGGCAGGTGGGGATCCTCAGCCTGGCCTGCGGGGATCAGGCTGAAACCCGCTCTCTGACATCCCGAGGGGTCCTGGAGTGCGAGAGGGTATTCTGCAAAGTTGCTGTTGTACAAGGTGTGGAACGCAAACTCAAGTGTGCAGTAAATCAGATTCGGGGCCGACAGTGCCCCAGTAACAACAGAACCCATGGCCAAATGTGGAACTGCGTGGCCCTGCGAGGAATCAGGCTCCCTCCTCTCTGGTTTCGGGGTGCGTCACCCGAGAACCGCTGCTGCCAAGTCACTGCAGCTCGGCAGCTCCTGCGATGAGTGTTTGCCCCCTGGTGGTCAGTGCGCGACTGGTCGGATGGTTGGACACTTAGCATATTAGCCTTTTATATATATACTAGTAGCCCGGTGCACAAAATTCCTGCACATTAAAAGGGAATTAATTGCCCTAACCGGTTTGGCTCAGTGGATAGAGCATCAGCCTGTGGACCCAAGGGTACCGGGTTCAATTCTGGTCAAGGGCATGTACCTGGGTTGCGGGCACATCCCCAGTGGGGAGTGTGCAGGAGGCAGCTGATCGATGTTTCTCTCTCATCGATGTTTCTAACTCTCTATCCCTCTCCCTTCCTCTCTGTAAAAAATCAATAAAATATATATATTTTTTTAAAAAGGGAATTAGTTAGCAGAGATATTTTAATATTGCTATTTGCCCTATCTCTATAATAGAAGTGTGAGAGATGAAAGGAAATTAGTAAAATGTATATGAAAATAATATATAAATTTATTAATAAATAAATAGTAACAAAAGGATATAACAGAGGCATGATATAAAAACGACAAAAACATGATATGAAAACAACAAAAACATGATATGAAAACAACAAAAACATGATATAAAAACAACAGTGATGCAAACAATGACTGACAAAGTGATTAAACTTATTCTAATATCTCCCTGTACACCACATTAAGAGTGAAAACACTTTCAGAGTGCTTGACTAATTTCCCTTGTGATGAAGTACTTAGAACTTTAACTGTAACATCACATGCTTTTCAAACTTGAGAGAAAGCAACATATAACTGACCAGGTGCAAAAACGGGTTCAGGTAGAAATATGCCTACTTTGTCTAGAGTTTGTCCTTGTGATTTATCAATAGTCATCACAAATGCTGGCATCACGGGAAACTGTCGTCGAATCAATTTAAATGGGAGGCCAGTGTCAGATGGGGACAAATTAATTCTTGGAATCAGAACAGCCTCTCCCTCTGCAGATCCTGTTAATACTTCAGCTTCGATAATGTTAGGTTGTAATCTTTTGATAATAAATCTGGTACCATTACAAAGGCCCCATTTACTATTGAGATTTCTCAATAGCATGATGATTGCATCCACTTTCAATTTTAATTTATTACTTGGCATTCCCGAAGGAGTAATACTATTAAGAAATTCGATGGGAAAATTTTCCTTCTCAGCATCATCTGTGGAATTAATGGAATCATCACTCAAATATGTGTGAAAATCTCCATCGAGTATATCCAAATTTTCTTCATTTAATTTTTGAACATGCTCATTTGGACAAAGAATTGCATGTTTAGATATATTTTTAATATTATCTATAGCAGTGGTTCTCAACCTTGGCTGCACATTAGAATCACCTGGGAATCTTTTTAAAATTCTGATTCCTGGGCCTCATCCTCCGGAAATTGTTTCTTTGTTATGGGATGGGACCACAACATCAGTAACAAAGAAACAGAATTAAAACTTCATTGTGGGGAGCCGCTACAGTATTTTGGACAGGCTCAAGCCTTGGACTGATGAGAGGGCACAGTCCTCTCATTGCCACGTGCAAGTCCCAGCTTGGAGGGCAGGGCCCTCCCAGCACAATTATAGCCAACAGCTGTAGTTGTAAGCTTGAACCTATGGTCCGAACACGTGGTCCCATGTGCCTGAGTGATGTAGGCTTGATAGAGTTCAGGTGCATGTAGCCAAGTAGGATTGAAACCCAGGAGAATGTTGTAAACATCTTGGTCACGCCCTTACTTTGCCTCGAAGCATCTGTTATAAAATAAAGGCATGGCTGTGGGTGTGGTCGCTGTCTCTCAGAGAAGCAGCGTCCCACCGAGACCCAGCTTTCATTCTCTTGTCTGTCTTTCTAAGCCTTTCAGCCGCCCCCACTCAGGTTCACCCCTGGCTGTGCTGGTACGGCACACTTTAGAAAGATATATGCCTCTACGCTTCCAGGGCTGGTTCCTGCCTCAAACCCTGCCCTTACAGGAAACAGCTCCGGGAAACAGCTCGGGGGAGGGTGCAGCCATTGCCAAGACAACCCCTGCAGGATTGACTTCCTTCCGCTTGGTTGCTGCGGTTGTGGTCGTGATGAACACCACCCATAGTTTTTATATAAGTAGACTAGAGGCCCAGCGCACGATTAAATCGTGCTCATGTAAGGTCCCCTAGGCCTAGCCTGCCATCAGGGCCATGTCCACTGCCCCCAGACGCTTCGCACGCTCCGTGGATGCTACCGGTGCCCCACGACTCTCCACAAACTCTGCCAGCACCCTGCGATGCTCCAGGGACGCTTCTGGTGCCTCGTGACGCTCCGCAAACACTGCTGGAGCCCCACGACGCTCTGGGGACACTGCCAGAGCCCTGTGACACTCCGCTGACGCTGCCGAAGCCCTGTGAGGGGGGCCCAAGAGGTGCTCCATGAACCTCCTGGTGACCGGTCCTTTGGTCATTACGGTATTACGGCCACTGGCCTTTAATAATATAGAGGACCGGTGCATGGATGTGTGCACCGGTGGAGTCCCTTGGCCTGGCCTGCGCCCTCTTGCAATATAGGACCCCTCAAGGGATGTTGGACTGCTGGTTTCGGCCTGATCCCCGCAGGGCAGGCCGAGAGACCCCACCAGTACATGAATCCGTGCACTGGGCCTCTAGTATGCATATAAGATCTTTGGTTAATCTCTTCCTGCCTTCCCCCCTTCCGCCTTCCCTCTGAGATTCATCAGTCTGTTCCATGTTTCTATGCCTGTGTGTTGAGCGTCTTCCCCCTGGTGGTCAGTGTGCATCATAGCTACCGGCCGAACGGTCGGACGGTTGCTTAGGCTTTTATATATACAGATTAGAGGCCTGGTGCATGCATTTGTGCACTGATGGGGTCCCTCAGCCTGGCCTGTGGGGATTGGGCCGAATCAGTGCACCGGGCCTCCAACATGCCTCTAGTAAAGTCTAAAAGCAAATGCACTAATAAGAGTATTATAAGACATAATATCAAATGAGATCATGTAAGTACTAAATTCACAGGAAGGAAAGGCTGTTGTGAGTTGGGTGTTAAACATAGTTTCAAGAAGAAAGGATTTGCCTGGCTTGCATGGCTCAGTGATTGAGCGTCTACCCATGAAACAGGAGGATTTCGATTCCTGGTCAGGGCACATGCCCGGGGTTGTGGGCTCGATCCTCAGTAAGGGCATGCAGGAGGCAACTGGTCAATGACTCTCATCATTGATGTTTCTTTCTCTTTCTTTCTCTTCCTCTCTCTCTCTTTCTCTCTCTCCCCCTCTCACTCTCCCTCTCCCTCTCCATCCCTGTTCTCTCTGAAATCAAATAAAAAATATTTAAAATAAAAAAATAAAAGAATATATATTTTTAAAAAATAAAAAAGAAGCAAGGATTTGAGCTGGGATTGGAAGACACAATGGATTTGGAGACCAGAGGGAGGGAAGGATATCCTATGAAGGTAAGTATGCTTGTAGGAAGAGTTGAACAAGTATAAAGCATGAATGTGGAGTGAATAAATTAGTTTGGTTTGGTACAAGGCAAGTAGAAAACTAAGAGAAAATAAGTTTGTAAGAGTAGGTTGGAGTCAATCTGAGGAGGGCCTTATAATGACTTAATAAGACTCTATCAGGTAAAGAAGTCAGGAAAGCTTTTCAGACATTTCATTCTTTTTACCAAAAATAAGACGTATATCCTCAGTGCCTATCATCACATTCTAGTTTTTCAATTAAAACAGAGTCTAGTTGGGATGTGCTAAGTAACTTGATAGGGAATCCTTTCTCAATGTATATGGATGTCAGATCATGTTTTACACTTTAAATATCTTACAATTTTGTCAATTAAGTATCAATAAAGCTGGAAATACTCCATCTACTTTTAAAGGATGTTTGCAAATATGTACTATAAAGGTCTCCTAATCCCCCTATGATATAACAGGTGTTAACTCTAATTTGGTTAGACACTATATAAGTGGTAATAAATTTATATTAATTTGTATTGATCCCTAAATTCATAAATAAGGACTACCATTTGAATTTAAACTATGGTAAAACTGTCTTAGCTATCCTAAAAGTGCCTTAGATGTTTCCAAACTGTAGTTGTTATGTACATAAAACATCTCTCTGAAAATTACTGACATTAGTTACTGTAGTTTCACTAGAAATGTGAAGTATTCACTTCTAATTCTTTCAATTTAATAACTTTTCAAAAAGGAAGTTCTATTCACCACCTGAACCAAACTCTCTTCTTTATTCAGATACTTTGCTTGTGAGTGAAGAACATGAAATACAATTAAAAAACTAAATAGATTTGAAATACCTTTTCCAACAACTACTACTGAATCTTCTGAAAAGGTATTTGTGGATGTGAAGTCAAAACTGGTAATATGTTGTAAATTTGATGATGACCCTGTAAATCCTAAAGAAAAAAAAAACATCCACATTAAAAAATACATAGTATTTTGGGATATCATAATATGGTCTTTTAAAAATTTATTATATACAAAGAATTTAGAATTTATATATTCACACATGCTCATTAATTCAATAAATATTTATAATTTGAATACCTAATATAGACTAGGCACCTTAAGAAGTTTATACATGCCAGTGTTAGTGGGAAAGATACACAAGAAAATAATCACATGCCCAGCCAGTGTGGCTCAGTGAAAAGACATATATCCAGATGTTATTTATAATGGCCAAGATATGGAAGCAACCTAAGTGTTCATCAACAGATGAGTGGATAAAGAACAAGTGGTACATATATACAAGGAAATGTGACTCAGCCATAAAAAAGAATGAAATCTTGCCATCTACAACATGGATGAACCTAGAAGGTATTGTACTGAGTGAAATAAGTCTGACAGAGGAATACAGTGCCATATGATTTCACTTATATGTAGAATCTAAAAAATAAAATAAATGAACAAGCAAAACAGAAAGAGACTCGTAGACACCAAGAACATTCTGATAGTTGCCAAATCGAAGAGAAAGGAATTGCAGGGATGGGTGAAAAAGGTGAAGGGATTATGAAGTCCAAATTGATAGCTATAGAATAGTCATGGGGATGTAAAGTACAGCATAGGGAATATAGTCAATAATATCGTAATAACTGTGTATGGTGTCAGATGGGTACTAGATTTATCAGGGTGATCATTTTAAGTTATATAATGTTTAATCACTGGGCTGTACACCTGAAACTAATAGAATATTGTAAGTCAACCATGAGAAATAAAAAATTATTTAAAGTAAAAAAAGAAGAGAGCAGAACAACAATAAGAGAAAAATAATTGAAAAACCTGTTTATGTATACTCATACCTTTGTATGAACAAGAAAAAAGGCAGAAAAAATTATATATAAGTGAAACTGACAAAAATAGTTAATAAATAAAATGTGAGAGAGAAAAAATTAAGCAGATAGATTACTTTGCTAACTTGCTAAAGATAATGACTTGTTTTGCTTATGCGCAAACATGACAAAGATTAAAGAAAGACACCCATGTAGTTTATCATATTTCATATTTTTCTTTAACTATAGTTTGGAATAATCAAAATTAATGTGCATCGTTTCAGCACATGCCAACTAACAGAAACATCTGACAGCCCCCAAAGATGTTCAGTAACAAAGAGAAGCAAATGTCAGTAAATGAAACAATTTACTCAATAGCCCACAAACATAAAATCTATATATAAACTATCAAGAGTTGGCTGAATAATTAGGTAAATCACAGGAAATAAAGAACAAGTTATCTATAAGTAATTTAATTTTTTTATGAGAGAGGCTGACATAACTAATCATTTTTAATGTTACTTTTACTTTTTACACTATATTTTCTTCTAAACAAAGATGTATTGAAAGAAATATTGCTCAAATCTCACTTGGGAAATATAAGGAAAAAATATTCTTAAAAGACACTTTACATATAAACTATCCTTATACAATCTCTTTTTGCTACTTCTATTCAATTCATTCAACTAGAGAAAAATATTAATGCATGGAATCTAGTTTGCTAACACTTCAAGCATTCATCATTAATAACTTTCTCAAGTTATTCATTGGGGCTCTAAGTTGTTATTATGTTATTAAACAGGTTCAAAAGGACAACCAGCAGAGGAGAGGAATGGAAAAAAGACAAAATTCTGAGATCTTATCCTACAAAAGTCTGAAGTTTCCTGCAATATGAATTCACTCACATATACAACTCATTGGCATACTTCTTTGGGAAGTCTTTTCATTCCCTGCACCACTGCACTCAGTATTTACTTTAACCAGATTATTTGAGAATGCAAGTTTTGAGTGATTATGCCCAAGGCTACACTATTAATTTTGGTTGGCTCATCACCACTCCATTCCTTTAACATGTGGCACTCAGCACCTTCACTCATTCATTCATTTACTCTTCACCCGAGGATTTTTTTTTTTTTTTTGAGAGAGAGAGAGAGAGAGAGAGAGAGACAGACAGACTGACAGACAGACAGACATTGATGGGTTGCCTCTCCTACATGCCCCACCAGGGATCGAACCCAAAATCTAGGTATGAACCCTGACCGGGAATCTAACCCACAAACTTTTGGTGTTTGGGACAATACTCCAACCAACTGAGGCACCCCGCCAGGGCTGAACACCTTTATATACAAAGCATAAGACTAAGAGAGATATAAAGATAATAGTGTCTTTACTTTTAAGTATTTTGTCCTGCTTCAGGCTAGTAGAGTAGGGAAAGTAGCAGGAGAGTAGGGAAAGCTTTCTAAAGAAACAGCTTTTAAACCAGTATTCTAAAAGTAGACATGATCTGGACATATTAAGATTGGGAAAAAGAATGTAGGAAGACTATACATATTAAAAAAAACTACTATTAAAAATGCTAGAGCACAGGGCATGAAAGAAGGATAATAGTAAGAATTAATGCAAAAAGTTAAACTACATAGCCCTGGCCACTGTGGCTCCCTTGATTGGAGGGTAATTCAGTACAAGGAAAGGTCGCAGGTTTGATTGCCAGTGAGGGCACATACTTGGGTTTCGGGTTTGATCACTGGTCGGGGCACATATGGGAGGCAACCCATTGATGTTTCTGTTTCTTTCTCTCTCACATTCTCTGAAAATAAGAGGCAAGACGTTTTATTAGATCCCAGGGTGTGGTAATGAAGGCCCAAATTAAACTGAGAAGTACTTGTAGGATGGGTTGGTCACTGACTGAACTTGAAGAGTAAGGAGAAGATGACTCTAAAGTTTTAAGTCCCCATAACTGGGACATGCTGATGCTGCTAACAGAAATGGATAACAAAGGTAGAGGAACAGGTCTGGAAAGAAAAGTAAGTTTGGTTTTGAACATGTATATTCTTGTTGACCAGATCTAGTGCATATCTGGTTTAGAATTAGAAGCCTGAGTCCAACCAGTATGGTTCAGTGATTGAGCGTCGACCCAGGAACCAAGAGGTCGCCCATTAGATTCCTGGTTGGGCCTGGGTTGTGGCCTGATGCCCAGTGGGAGGAATGCAGGAGGGAGCAGATGGATGTTTCACTCTCATTGATGTTTTTATCTCTCTCCCTTCCTCTCTAAAAATCAATAAAGACATTTAAAAAAAATTGAAAGTATGAGTGTGAAGTAATTTTCTGGAGAATTAGCTGCTGGTCAAAAGATATACATATTTTTATGATTTTGCTGTATAAAAAAGAATACCATTAGCAGTGAATGAATATATTCAGCAATTATTTCAAAACAATTACAAAGCACGGCCAGTATGGCTCAGTGGTTGAGCGACCTATGAATCAGGAGGTCACGGTTCCATTCCCGGTCAGGGCACATGCCCGGGTTGCGGGCTTGATCCTCAATGTGGGGTGTGCAGGAGGCAGCTGATTAATGATTCTCTCTCATCATTGATGTTTCTATTTCTCTCTCCCTGTCCTTTCCTCTCTGAAATCAATAAAAAATAAAAAAAGTTATGAAAAAGAAAATTTAAAATTATATGTTAGGGTAAGGATTGCCTTTGGAAAGAAAAGTATATTTTGTATTTGATTTTCTTTACATGAAAAATAAAATATGCAAGAAAACATGAAACAACTGTCATTCTCTTCTTTAAATATGTTTTTATTGATTTTTAGAGAGAAGAAGGGGAGGGAGAAAAAGATAGAAACATCAGTGATGAAAGAGAATCATTGATTGGCTGCCTTCTGCATGCCCCCTATAGGGATCGGAGCCTGTAAACTGATGGGGAATGGAACCATGCCCTTTTGGTTCATAGGTCAACATTCAACCACTGAGCAACACCTGCCAGACTCCTGTCATTCTCTTTTATAAAAACAATGAACAACTGATCTCCTTGACAAAGAAAAGATATAGAATTACATTATGGATTAAATTATAAGAAATGTACACAAAAAAGAAAAGTTTCTAATCAATTTCTCTCTTACTCAATTTGAGTTATTTACTGCAAAATTATACATGTCCTGGAATGCCTGCACACATATGACTTAAGATCTCAGAAATAAGAAAAGTTGACCTTATTACAACCCTAGTTGCTATACATAAAAAATGACAGCTCCTTACACTTACCAGATGATTACAATGCTTAAATACAGGTTACTTCTAATTATTCTATTTAAATATTTATACCCTTAAAAAATCACTTACTCCTTGCCCTGGCCGTGTGGCTCAGTTGGTTGGAGTGTCATCCCGTGCAATGAAATTTGGTTGCCCATTCGATTCTTGGTGCGGTCCCAAACCTAGGTTGTGGATTTGATTGGTGGGCATATATATGGGAGGCAACTTTCTCATATTGATGTCTCTCTCTCTTTTTTCTTCCTCCCCCTTCCTCTCTCTAAAGTCAATAAACATATCATGAGGTGAGGATTTAAAAAAATCACTACTCCTTAACCTAAGGGAAATTTTTAAAATGCAGCTGTAATAAGATCTCTGAAAAAATGGAAAGAGCAGTCACAGAGATGCTACTTGCTACTAAAACAAACAAACAAACAAAGAATGTAAATTGTTAGTGATAATAAAGAAGCCTTCCCAGGTTCTACCACATGAAAATTATATTCCAGTTTCCATAGTTTTACTCCATTGTTACAACGTACGTAGGCATCTGAGATGATTTCTCCACCCATTTTAGTGGTAAAATGTCTTATTAAAAAAAGTGTGTGTGTGTGTTCTGGCGGGGGGAGGCAGTGTCAGTAGGGATTCCCTACTTTTAACCTACTGGGCAGTTGCTTCTCTGCACTGGCTCCTCAGGCAAGCCCATAAGCCAATACATGAATTATGTGTTCTCCTACTTAGTAAAATTATTTAAGCAACAACATATTAGCAGAAGGGTAAGAGAAAAAATTTCAAAACTGAGAAATTTCAATCAATGTTTCTCCAATGGCAAGCTTAGGGAGGATTCTGATTTAGAGACAATCAGTCTTAAAAATTAACTTGCTATGAAATTTACTAACCTTTTGTATGCTTATGTCTTGGGTGTTCCTTATTTTGTATTTTTAAAACACTAGAGGAAATGTCATGTGACCTAACATCTTCAAAATCACCACATTCAAACCCATAGTTCATACGTTGACCAATTATGCTTACGTTGGATGTTGTAATCCCTACAAAATAAAATAACAAAAATATTTATTTGAATGATTTAGGTAATATGATAGAGATACATATCTCCCCTCTAAATCTATCTTGTCTTCTACCCTTTTAAAAATGTCAGTAACATAACAATAGAAATTATAACATTATAGTAATTTTAAAAGTTTTACCTTATTTTAAATTTTGTATTACTTTTTACTTACTAGCAGATAAGAACATTTATTATAAGCCATACTACAACATTTTACAAAACAGGCTTTAAAATTACAATGAAATATAAAATTCAATGTTGAAAGAGATAATAAAATACATATATTTTAAAAATATGACAAGCATTTCATGTTTAAATGATATTTTAAATTTTACAGCAAAAAGAAAAATTTTAAGTCTAAAATGTTTAAACTGTGTCCTGAGACATCCTTTGCATTGAAAGGCTGTTGGTTTGACACTCCATTCTTTTCTTAATATATATTTTTATTGACTTCAGAGGGGAAGGAAGAGGGAGAGATAGAAACATCAATGATGAGAGAATCATTAATTGGTTGCTTCCTGCACATCCCCGACTGGGGATCAAGCCCACAACCCAGGCATGTGCCCCGAACTTGAATCAAACCGTGACCTTCTGGTTAATAAGTCGATGCTCACCCACTGAGCAACACCAGCCAGATTATCTCCCATTCTTATGTAATGGGTCTATACTGGTCTGGCTGGTGAGGCAGTAAACTACATGGTGAATAAGAGCTCAGAATCTGGAATCTTACTTCCTGGCTTTATTGTTTGAAAATATTTTCTTTTTTAAAAATTTATTTTAGTGAAGGAATACAGGAGAGAGAAAGAGAGAGAAAGAGACAGAAAGAGAGATGGAGAAACATGGGTGTGAGAGGTAAATCAATTGGTTGCTTCCCATACTCAACCCGACCAGGGATCCACCTGCAACCTAGGTATGTGCCCTGACTGGGAATCCGACCTGAGACCTTATGGTCCACAGGAAGACACTCCAAGCAACTGAGCCCCATTGGCCAGGACCCTGGCTTTAAAACATAGTACCACCACTTAAAATGCTGACAGAACCTGGGCAACACACTTAACCTTATTTGTAAAATGGGTATAACAGTAAGACTTCTTCCAGAACTGTTGTGAGGATGAAATTAAGAAAATAGATGTAAAGGGTTTAGCAAAGTGCCTAGCATATTATAAATACCCAAACAAATCAAAACCTTAATGTAGGCCTCCTTTTAACAAATATCAAAAATTTAATCTATATGTTTGGATGTTTAAACTGACCACCCTATGCTAATACTCTGCAGCTGTGAAAACCACTGTGTACTAAATGAAAGTCCTAGGCAATATATATTTGAGTCACCATCCATTTTTATATATAGCTCCTATGTAAACCATTAAGCAGTGATAACAACATATGTTTTTAACATTGTTGCGGGTATTTTAATAAAACGATAATGAGGAGAGGAGGTGGGTGGTTGCAGGGGGGTAGAGAGGACTGTAAAGGGCACTGGGTCAGCTCATAGAGAATGATTTAAAACTATCTGATAATAGCCTGGCCAGAATGGCTCAGCTAATTAAGCATCATCCTGTGGATTCAAACGCTGTTGGTTTGATTCCTGGTCAGGGCACATACCTGGGTTGTGAATTCAATCCCCAGTCCTGGCACTTATGGAAGGCAACCAATTGATGTTTATCTCTCACATCAATATTTCTCTCTCCCTTTCTCTCTTCTTCTCTCCCTCTCTCTAAGCAATGTCCTTGGGTGAGGATTGAAAATAATCTGATAAATAAATTATAGAGAACTTCCAGGAATAAAGTGCCTATCTTTCCAAATTCTTCTTAGTTTTTAAAAAATATATATTTTATTGATTTTTTACAGAGAGGAAGGGAGAGGGATAGAGAGCTAGAATCATCGATGAGAGAGAAACACCGATCAGCTGCCTCCTGCACACCTCCTACTGGGGATGTGCCCGCAACCAAGGTACATGCCCTTGACTGGAATTGAACCTGGGACCCTTTAGTCCGCAGGCCGACGCTCTATCCACTGAGCCAAACCAGTCAGGGCTTCTTCTTAGTTTTGATATTCATAAAGTAAGCATCATAAAGATACTGGCTTTGAGTGGAAATGCTTTCTATTAATAGGTGAGACTAATCGTTAAAACCAAGAGCTGGTTCTTTAGGGATGTTCTTTTTAAGCATATACATATATTTTTATTGATTTCAGAGAGGAAGAGAAAGGGAGAAAGAGAAACATCAATGATGAGAGAGAATCATTGATCAGCTGCCTCCTGCACACTCCCTACTGGGGATCCAGCCCACAACCCAGGCATGTGCCATGACTGGGAATCCAACTGTGACCTCCTGATTCATAAGTTGATGCTCAACACTGAGCCATGCCAGTCGGCTAAGAGCTGGTTCTTTTTTATTTTTATTGATTTCAGAGAGGAAGGGAGAGGGAGAGAGAGACAGAAACATTAATGATGAGAGAGAATCATTGATCAGTTGCCTCCTGCACGCCACCTACTGGGGATTGAGCCCGCAACCCAGGCATGTGCTCTTGACCAGAATAGAACCTGGGACCCTTCAGTCCACAGGCCGACACTCTATCTACTGAGCCAAACCAGCCAGGGCTAAGAGCTGGTTCTTTAAAAAGCTAAACAAAAATGACAAACCTTTAGCATCATACTTCCTGATTTCAAACTATATTACAAAGCTAGTAATTGAAGCAGTGTGGTATTGGCATAAAAACAGACACATAATTACTGAAACAGAACAGAGAGCCCAGAAATAAAACTAGTTATACATGGTGAGTTAATTTACAATAAAGGAGCCAATAATATACAATAGTGAAAGGACATTCTCTACAATAAATGGTGTTGGGAAAATTGGACACCACATCCAAAAGAATGAAACTGATTATCTTACAAACTACACAAAAAATTAACCCAAATGGATTAGATGATAAGCTCATTGACATCAGTCTTGGAGATAAGTTTTTGGAATTAACACCAAAACCAAAGGCAACAAAAGCCAAAAATAAGCAAGTGGGATTACATTAAACCAAAAAGCTTCTGCACAGCAAAGCAAACCAACACAATGAAAAGGCAAATTACAGAATGAGAAAAAATACTTGCAAATCATATAACTGGTAAGGGTTTTAATATCCAAAATATATTTTAAAAACTCATGCAACTCAATCTCAAAAAAACCCCAAACAATCCAATTTAAAAATGGGCTGAAGATCTGAATATAAATTTTTCCAAAGATATAAAAATGGCCAACAGACACATGAAAAGATGCTCAACATCACTAATCTTTAGGTAAGTACAAATAAAAATCATGATATATTACCTCACACCTGTTAGAATAGCTATTATCAAAAAGACAAGAAATAACAAGTATTGGTGAGGATGTGGAGAAAAGGGAACACTTGTGCACGGTTGGTGGGAATGTAAATTAGTGCAGCCACTATGGAAAACAGTATGGAGGTTCCCCCCAAAAACTAAAAACAGAACTACCATATCATCCAGCAACTTCGCTTCTGGGTATATAACCAAAAAAACCAAAACCACTGCCTTGAAAAGATATCTGCACTTCCATGTTCACTACAGCATACTTTATGATAGCCAAGATATGAAAACAACTTAAGTGTTCACCTATGGTAGAATGGATAAAGAGATGATATAGAGACACAATGAAATATTATTTAGCCATAATAATAAAATCTTGCCGTTTGCAACAATATGGATAAAGCTTGAGGGCAGTATGCTAAGCAAACTCAGACAGACAGAAAAGGCAAATACTGTATGATTTCCCTTATATGTGGAACAAAAAACCCTCATAGATAGAACAGATTGCTGGTTGCCAGAGGAGAGGGCTGGGGATGGGCCAAATGAGTGAGGGAGTCAAAGGTACAAATTTCCAGTTATAAAATAAATAAGTCATGGGGATTTAATTCATAATATTGTACTGCATATTTGAAAGTTGCTAGAGTAGATCTTAAAAGTTCTTATCTAAGAAATAAAATTCTATACCTGTGTGGTGACAGATGTTAATTAGATTTGTGTTGATCATTTTGCAATGCATACAAATATTGAATCATTATATTATACACCTGAAACTAATATAATGTCTTATATCAATTACATCTCAATTTAAAAAAAATAGATGATACCATTATAATGCTACGGGAAAAAAGTTTACTATAATATCATTCAGAAAATTTAGCACTATGTGCTATAATAGATAGTGGTAGAATATATGTGGAAATATTTATTGTAAGTGCTGTTGTAAGGACAGATTAGGTTTATGGTTTTTACATAATTATTTTTGTTTTTGTCTTCAGATAGTCTTTATTATTTTTTTATTTTAACAATTAAATAATAAACTTGTAGAAACTATTTGCTTACTGAAAAGGAAACAAACCCCATCCCACATAAGCAAAAAATATAAACTCAAGTTTATAAAACCCTAAACCAGCGGTTTTCAACCTGTGAGTCGCGACCCCTTTGGCGGTCGAACGACCCTTTCACAGGGGTCGCCTAAGACCATCCTGCATATCAGATATTTACATTACGATTCATAACAGTAGCAACATTACAGTTATGAAGTAGCAACAAAAATAATTTTATGGTTGGGTCACAACATGAGGAACTGTATTTAAAGGGCCAGAAGGTTGAGAACCACTGCCCTAAACCATTAGCAACTTGACATTTTGACAGTATATTACATTTAACCAAGAATATCCTATACTGAATTCAATAAGTGTTTCTAAAACTTGATCCTAGAAATACCTAAGTTGTTAAAAATACAGATCACTAACCCTAAAGATTGATTCATTAAGTGTGAGGCGAGGACCTAGAATCTGTATGTCATATGCATTCCTGGTTATTCCTAGGATTAGGCAAGTTAGAGAACCATTAAATATTAGACAATGTTGAAAAACACAGAATATTGCCTTTTGAAGTATGTACTGTTGTAAGAATTATCACTAACATAACAAGGTCACAGAAAGGTCACAGAACTAGGTTCTGAGGGAAACACACTAGAATTTCTAAGTCTATTCTTTTCTACTTCCAAAGACATTCTTCCAAACGAGGGCTCCACTTTTATAAACTAGATACAACCTAGCAATAGCATGTTTCTTCAAATGTATATAAATATTTGTAAAGCTATAAATAAGTTATTAGAACAATCAGCCTTAAAAAAGTATTGAAGAGTAAGTTTATGTATTGTATTTCTTTATGTCTTCCTTTAGGGGAACTAATGCCAAGTGTCCACTATGCATTAGGTGCTTTATATATTATACATCTAAATCTTCAGTACCCTTCTCAAGGTTTACATTATCAGACAGGGAAACTGAGTTTCAAAGTGGTTAAGTAACTTGCACAGTTCATGAATATGGTTATTAAATATTAAATTAGGATTATAGCTAGAGTCTTTCAGATTCCAAAGCACATACATTGTCTCCCTGTGCCTAGTAGAGCTCTTTGTTGAATACTACCTTTGTGAAAGCCAGTATACCAGGCACAAATGGTTGAGTTGGGCACTTGTGATTATGACAGAAACTTGGTAGATAATTTAGAGGTAAATAATCTCTGGGAATCAAGACTCTGAGAGTCCAAAAAAGTAAAACAACTGAAATACCAATATAAAGATGTCAGTGCAAAATGTAATACCACAAAAGAATGAACAATTTTATTTATGAATTGGGGAAGGCTGCCCAGAAAGAGCAACTGAACTGTTTTCACACCTGAATAAGTGTGATGTGAATTCCAGATTTCATCCAGAAGAAATGGTATGCACCACTGCAAAGAGATAGGAAAAGGTATTGAAGATGATCTAATTTAACTGGAACACAAGATACAAAGAGGGAAGTAAAAGATGAGGCTGGAGAGGTGGGCAAGGGCCAGATCATGGAAAAATGTCCTGAATAAATTTAGGCTGGGCAACACAGTCAGATTTACACTGTGGGGAATAGATTGTAAGTGAACGAGACTACAGCTGGAGAGAAATCTTAGGAGGCTAAGTAGGTAAGAAATGATTAAGAGTGATAGTGGGAATCAAACTGAGATGAATTTAAGACATATTTAATAGCAAGAAATTAATAATTATAGCAAACAATTAGCTACATATATAGCTTTTTAGGACGGTAAAGTAGCCTTAAAAGTTGGTAGGATTTTTATACTGAGATCATGTGAAAATAAGCATTATATCCTAATTTGTTATCATTTATTCATAATTCCATACAGTTTACTAATCATAAAAAAATCATATGCAGTTCCCATCCTAAATAGACCAGAATCCAAATATTTTTCTAATTGATTACTAATAAATTATTTTTTTATGAAAAATGATTATAAATTAGAGACTTCCAGGTTAGTTCACAAAATGTTTAACATAAGATACACATGAACTCAACTACTAGTTAAATTTTTTAAACTAATTTATAATAATTTTTCATAAAAAATAATTTATTAGTAATCAATTAGAAAAATATTTGGATTCTGATCTATTTAGGATGGGAGAGCATTATGCTAAGTGAAATAAGCCAGTGAGAGAAAGGTAAATATCACATGATCTCAATCATTTGTGGAATATAATGGAAAACATAAACTGATCAACAAAAACAGATCCAGAGACAGAGAAGCATCGATCAGACCGTCAAACCTCAGAGGGAAGGTAGGAGAAGGTGGGGGAAAGGGGGAGAGATCAACCAAAGGACTTGCATGCATGCATATAAGCCTAATCAATGGACACAGACACTAGGGGGGTGAGGGCATGCGTGGAGGGGTGAGGGGCAATGGGGGGGATAATGACACATTTGTAATACCTTAATCAATAAAGAAAAAAAAAAAGAAATTGTCTTTTGTGATGTCCAGTGGTTCTCAAACTGAGCTGCCTATTAGAATCACCTGGAAAGCTTTCAAATACTGATAGCCAGGTCTCTTTCTATATCAATTAAGTCTAAATGTCTAGGAGCTATGGGCTTACAGGGAGATCATTTATTCAGGTAAATACTTTTTATAAAAAACATATATTTTTATTAATTTCAGAGAGGAAGGGAGAGGGAGAGAGAGAAACATAAATGACGAGAGAGAATCATTGATTGGCTGCCTCCTGTATGCCCCACACTGGAGATCGGGCCTGCAATCTCGACATGTCCCCTGACTGGGAATTGAACTGTGACCTCCTGATTCATAGGTCGATGCTCAAACACTGAGCCATGCCGGCTGGGCCAGGTAAATACTTTTTCTTCCAAGAATAATACAATATTTATTCTTGCCAAAATGTCTTTTTAAGGAGTTAAAAGGATTAGTCCTAATTGGTAACTATAAAATTCTAACTCTGAAATGTATCCATTATCATTTCTGACATCATTTAAAAATCATACTTTCTATAAATCACATTTATAAAACAGTCATACAATACCTGTACTGGGGCTCTGTTCAGCTATTTGAGAGATTTTATTCTTTCCAGAACAAAGACTTGTTAGACAAAGTTTTGATCCAAATGTTGGTAATATGTCTGACCTACAATGAAACAAAATAATTTCAATAAACATTTAAGATTGAGAGTTATTCAACACTCTTAAATCAAACATTCTTTATACTTTTTATTAATTCACTAAACAGGCAGCAACAAGTATAAAAAACTATGGCTCAGAATGTTTTTAATATATATATATATATATATATATATATATATATATTTTTTTTTTTTTTTTTTTTTTTCATTGATTTCAGAGAAGGAGAGAGAATCAATGATTGGCTACTTCCTGCATGCTCCCCACCGGGGATTGAGCTCACAACCATGGCATGTGCCCTGACCAGGAATTGAACTATGACCTCCTGGTTCATAAGTTGACACTCAATTATTGAGCCACACCAGCAGGGCAAGAATGGTTTTTATTGGTATTCCTAGTTTGCCTTTTGAACTTCCAATCTTTTGAACATACAGTCAATTCTTAATTAATCATGAGAGGACTGCCAAAGACTTAAACCCCCACCTAATTCTAGAAGAGTCCATTCCAAACTAAAACAAATGATTCTACATAATTATCTAATACTAGAGGCCCGGTGCACAAATTCGTGCACAGGTGAGGTCCCTTTGCCTGGCCGGCGATCAGGGCCAACGGGGCCACGGGAGCACACTGACCACCAGGGGGAAGCTCTTGCGTTGAGTGTCTGCCCCCTGGTGATCAGTGTGCATCATAGCGACTGGTTGGCCGGTCGTTCGGTCACTTAGGTCACTAGTAGATACTATCTACCTTCATATATAATCTATATCATAAAAGGCCTGTGGTCGTGGCACTATAAAAGCATCATGACCAAACAACCGGTCACCAGGAGGTGCATGGAACACCTCTTGTGGGCCAGGACTCGTGGCTTGCGTGGTGAGGCGGGGCTCGCGTGGGGCTGGCGGGGCCCACGGCTCACGTGGTGGAGGTGGGGCCCGCGGCTCATGCAAGGTGGGTCTGGGGTCCCGTGGCTCGCGCAGGGCGGGTCTGGGTATCACGCGATTTCACGTGCTGGGCCTCTAGTAATACAAAAATAGAGATTTAACTGTGTGATGATACATCTGCAACAAGTGAGCTTAGTGAATGCCACTTTCTTCTTGGACTACCATTTGTTTATTTTCCTAACTTTATAAAGGCCTACAGGCCTTATTTCACAAAGAAAGCAGCCCTAGCTGGTTTGGCTCCGTGGATAGAGTGTTGGCTCCTGAAGGGTCTCTGGTTCCATTCCAGGTCAGGGCACATGCCTGGGTGGTGGGCTTGATCCCCAGTGAGGGGGTGTGCAGGAGGCAGCCAATCAGTGATTCTCTCTCATCGTTGTTTCTATCTCTCTCTCCTTCTCCCTTCCTTTTAAACTTAAATGTTTAAATGTGGAAATACTGAACTCTTTAAAGATAATTCAGTCCATAGATGAGGGTATACTGAACTCACTTCCACTGAGTTCACTATCTGAAGAAAATAACTCTGAGACAATATAGGGAATAGTGAGTTCTAAATGTTATAGTATCAAATGAAGTCTCTTCCCAATTGTGTACCAAATTAGTTACAGGACCTTGCAACTGTAGTAGTATGTAACATAAAATTTTGCATTCATGGACAATAAGGGTCTACCACAAATATATATTTTAAATGTCTGGTAACTTAATGAAAAAATAGTTACATACTGATTCCAAATTCATTTTGTAAATATATAGCATTATTCTACCTATGTAATTACAACAAGGGAATTTCCAGTAGAAAAAAAATTCCAACTGCAAAATAAGCTGCTATTTAAATTAAAAAATGATAAGGAAATCAAGAAATGAGAAACACATTCCACAATGGGACACAGTTTACTCTATGAACTGCTGAAATAGAACACCCTTTTTCATTAAAGTTATTAGAACACTGGCTCTCTTTTGATTACACCAGTGGTCGGCAAACTGCGGCTCGCGAGCCACATGTGGCTCTTTGGCCCCTTGAGTGTGGCTCTTCCACAAAATACCGACTTCTGCTCATGGGCCACGAAGTTTCAATCGCACCGTACATGCACGCCCGCATGTGGTATTTTGTGGGAGAGCCACACTCAAGGGGCCAAAGAGCCGCATGTGGTTCACGA